ACCAGTGACTTTTCAGTTCACAGGCCAGAACTCAGTCCACTGGGACATACCAGCCAGGACAATTGGTATTCAGATTGACTTTTAAAGTGATTAGTGATAGTTGGATTAATATATACCATATTTATTATTGTTTTCTATTTGTTGCTCTTTTTGTTTGTTCCTATTTTTGTCTTCCACTTTTTTTGCCTCGTGATATTAATATTGTTCCCTCTCCTTTTTAAGAATATTGACTGTACTTTTTCTTAAAAGTGTTTTTAGGGGTTGTCCTAGAGTTTGCAATGTACACTTACAACTAACCCAAGTCCACCTTCAAGTAACATTGTACCTCTCTACAATTAGTGCAAGTACCTTATAATAGCAAAATAATCTTAATTCCTCCCTCTCGTGCTTTATATCTTCGATTATTCATTTCACTTATAGGTAAGAATATGTATGTATATATAATAGTCACTATTATTGTTTTGAACAAACTGTTCTCTGTTAGATCAATTAAGAATAAGACAATTAAGACTTTTTAACTTTAGTTATTCCTTTTCTGATGCTCTTCCCTTCTCTATGTGTATCTGAGTTTCCCACCTGTGTTATCTTCCCTCTGTCTGAAGAACTTCTTTTAACCTTTCTTGAAAAACAGGTCTACTGACAACACACATTCCCTCATTTTTTGTTTGTCTGAGAAAGTCTTTATTTCTCCTTCACTTCTGAAGGATAATTCTGCAGTGCAAAAAATTCTATCTTGGTGGTTTTTCTCAAATACTTTAAATATTTCACTCTTTTGGGGGTGGGGTGGGAATTTATCCTCTTAGGTGTCCTCTGAGCTCCCAGGGTCTCTGATTTCGTGTGTGACATTAATTTAGGGAATTTCTTGGCCATCACTTCTTCAAATACTTCTGTTCCTTTCTCTTTCTTCTCTTTCTGATATTCCATTACCTGTCTTTTACACCTATTTTTAGATGTCCACAGTTCTTAGATATTACATTCTGTGTTTTTCAGTCTCTTCTCTCTTTGCCATTCAGTTTTAGATGTTTCTATTGACATATCCTCAAGCTCAGAGTTTCTTTCCTCAGTTGCAACCAGACCACTAATAAGCCAGGGGTGTCAAACTCATTTTCACTGGGGATCACATCAGCCTCATGGTTGCCTTCAAGAGGCCCAGTGTAATTTTAGGACTGTGTAAAGGTAACTACTCCTTAACAGTTAAGCGAGAGCTCGGCACTGCCACGGGGTGGAAACAAGGTGCTGGGCCACATAAAACAAGGTGAAGGCCGGATTCAGCCCGTGGGCCTTGTGTTTGCCACCTGTGCAATAGACCCAACAAAGGCATTCTTTATTTCTGTTACTGTGTTTTTTATATCTACCATTTTTTTATTTCTCAGAATTTCCATTTCTTGGCTTACTGTGCCCATCTGTTCTTGCATGCTGTCTACTTTACCCGTTAGAGCTTTTAGCATGATAATTATAGTTGCTTCTAATTCCCTGTGTGATAATTCCAATATCCCTGCTAAGTAGGTATGGTTCTGATGGTTTCTCTGTCTCTTCAAACTTTTTTCCTTTTAGTACGCCTTCTCAATTTTTCTTGGTAGCTGGACATGCTGTACTTGGCAAAAGAAACTGCAGTAAATAGGCCTTAGTAATCTGGTGGGGAGGCGTCAGGGGAGGGGAAGCATTCTAGAGTCCTGTGTTTATGGCTCAGTCTTTTAGTGGGCTGTGTCTCTGGACTGTGAACTTTACAAGTGTTTCTCATTCCCTCTCCTCCCCACCCCTCCCCTCCCCACTACACCCCATGAAAAGATGGCTTGATTGGGCTCCAGTTGGATGATTCCATTCTCCCACATGGAAGGCTAGAGTCGTTTGGATTTCCCTCCTTCTGGGTTGATTAGGCTCTAAAACCCCCAACAGCTTAGGTTTTGATAAAATAATTTCTCTCAGGGGCAAGCTTTGTTAAGAACAGAATGTTCTAGCATATTTCAAAATGGTCTCTTTCCCTCCCCTCTGGTGGAAACACAAGGGGATTTTTCTCCCATATTCACTGAAAAAACTGGTTTAGCTCCTGGGGGTAAAACTCACAAAAGTGTAATGGCATCCTTATGACTGGGCCCCCCAGGAGTTTTTTAACAGACTTGTCCATGCTGAGCTTCCAGCAGTTCATCCATTACAATTCAGGTTTCCATACCCTGATGCTGATTCCTGCAGAGGTTTCTGCTCATGGGCTTCTGCTCTGGGAAGTTGCAATTCTCTGTCTCTTCAATTCTGGAGCAGTGGTTTGCCCTGTGACCTCACTTCTCTGATGAATCTACAGCCATGCACTACATAATGATGTTTTGGTCACGAATGGATTGCATATACAATGGTGTTCCCATAAGATTATAATAAATTATAACAAAAAGTTTGTTTGCAATGTTGAAAGAATAGGGTGGACAAAGCTACCTGATTTTTACCTGGAGAAAGTACCAACTGACCTAATTTAGGGAGGATTTGTAAAAGTCTTTTTTTTAAAAGATTTTATTTATTTTTAGACAGAGAGAAAGGGAGGGAGAAAGAGAGGAAGACAAACATCAATGGGTGGTTGCCTCTCATGTGGCCCCTACTGGGGACCTGACCCACAACCCACGCATGTGCCCTGACTGGGAATTGAACCAGCAACTTTTTGGTTCCAGCCAGGGCTGTAAAAGTCTTTAATGAGATGAAATTTCAGCCTAGGTAAGAAACGAGTTTTTCTTTCACACAGAGTCTTAATGACAGGTGTTGCACAAGTTACTTCAGATCAAGAAGGAAGAATATTAAAGTTCCTTTTCTCTCCTTCAACACAAATCTGGACACCTTCCTTTGCAGTTGGTAGTATTAAAAAGGTCCAACTGCCCTGGCTGGTGTAGCTCAGTGGATTGAGCACAGGCCTGCAAACCAGAGGATCACAGGGCACATGTCTAGGTTGCAGGCTGGTTCCCTGCAGGCCAGTTCCCAGCATGGGAACGCATGAAAGGCAACCATACATTGATGTTTCTATTCCTCTCTCCTTCCCCTCTAAAAGATAAATAAATAAATAAATCTTTTTTAAAAAAAAGAAGCTCCAACTAACACTCATAAAGCAAAGTCTACCAATACCAATTCTACAGCTTCTCATCAAAGATACCATGAGTTATATGATACTCAGTTATCTTATGTAGCACTGAGAAAGGAAAAACACTGCTAAATAATTATGAGATATAATCAAATGTAAGATATATTCTTATTTCAGATATTTTTAAATGTAGCAAAATGTGCACATTAGAATACAGTGGCCTAGATCTCTTCTTTGAACTCCAAGTCTCTATGGTCACTATAATTTCTCACAGGCTCCTTAAACCTAATGTGTCCTAATCTGGATTCTTTATCTACGTTGCCAGAGCTGTTCCTTTCCCCTCATTCCTTGTCCTGGCAAATGGAGCCACCCCAACTAGAAACGTGTTAGTCATGCTGGACTCCTGGCCCTCTAGTGATTCTGCCTCATACATCTCTTCAAGGCACTGCCTTCTCTCTTTTCCTTCTCTCCTAGCTTTGAGTCAGGTATTCCTCATCTCTCTGCGGGATTACAGCAGTGATTGAATTGCTCTCCATTCCTCTAATGAATTCCTACTCTACACTATACTTGTTTTCTTTCTTAAGCATCAATCTGGTATTAGTTCTTGCTTTGGAAACAAGGTGAAGACTGCATCCAACAAATAGGCAAAGGACATGAAAAGGCCAAATCACAGAAGAGAAAAATACACATTTACACACGTGAAAAGTTGTTCATCTTCATTATGAACTAAATGTAACAATGACATTTCCTCACCTTTTCAATGGGCATTTTGTGAGAACTTATAATAAGGAATGCAAGAGTGTCGAGAATTGCCCCTATATATCAGTGGCAGTGGATAATATTTTGGATGACATTTTGGCAACGTTTTGGATAGGTGGAGGAAAGCAAACTACCAATTATCTCTGAGCCTCCATTACTGCATTTGGTCAAATTGGGCTGATACCCACTCTAATGGCCTTAAGGAAGTGAGATAATTTAGGGGAAGGAGATTTGTAAGTAATAGTAGCTAACATTCATGGGGTACTTGCTGTTCTAAGTGCTTCATATGTGTTACCTCGTTTAATCTTCACAACAATCCTGTAAATACTACTGTTATCATTCTCATTTTACCTCTAAGAAAAGTGAGGCATAGAGAATAAATTATTGCCCAAAGAGTGGAGCTGGGATTACTGGTATTAAATCTACATAGGAAGGTCTAGCTTTTTGCAGCAACCTACACCGCCGTTATTTTATGTGAGAGCCTACAGCATCCACAGTAGAAACTTGTTTATACAGAATTTGCTCCTTCGTTAGTTACCATCAACTGGCCGCCTCTAATTGCTTTGTGTATCTCATCACGGTCCTGTCTGACTGAGCTCCAGAGAACTCGGCCCACCTCTCACTCCAACTCATTTTCAGTGTCCTGGCCACCACTGGGTACACAGTGAAACCTTAAGCAGTGGCCTAACAAATGCTATCGTGCATTTCTGTGGGATCAAAGGCACATCTTTATAAATGTGAATTTCCATGAGGCTGAGACAGGTACACAATAACTACCTACATACAGGAGAGTACGCGCCTTGACAACCATAGCTCCGCTCCGCATCTGGGCCCTGGGCTGACCTTTCCAGCTTTCTGGTGTCATTCGCATTTGCCCGGAACCTTTCCAGCCGATTCTGGTGCAGCCGGCCGGTACAACGCCACTGAACACACAATAGACAACTGCTAGTAGTCTAACTATATGCCTGACATTTCTAGTTCACTTACACAACCCGGGAGAAAACATTCTCAAGTTCATGCACTTCTTAGAGTACTAAGCGCCGAAAAAAAATTTATCCCTTAATTAATGTTATAATCAAATGACTTCAAGAGAGTTTGTTGTTCTTTTTGGTTAGGCATATATATGGACAGCTCACTTGGACCGAACAGGGTAGGCGGGGGAAGAAAGCGGAAGGCGCAGGGTCTTCTAAACCAGAAAGTCTGCGGAGCTAGTGCCGGGCAATTTGCGGTGCTCCCGACTTGGACGTAGTGTTAGAAACAGGCAGGGGGGAAGGCGCTGTCGCTGGAGCTGAAACCAGGCGGCCGGAGTTCTCAGGGATGAACCTCGAGTTGCTGGGTAAGGAAGGCTATGGCTACGTCTTAGAGAACGTTTTGGTCTTGAAAAAGAGGGAAGCCGGGCGGGGGAGGATTCAGGCTGCAGCTCAAGATACCTAGTTCTGCTGTGGGTCACTGGACGCTCCTGAAATACAGCAGCAGCAGCAGGAGAAGGCAGCCCTAGCTTCTGCCCGAGCAAAATGCATTGCCCTCCCGGAACCTATTTTCTGATCAGTTTTGGAGTGGTAAGGACAGTTTGTGACTTAGTTTTGATGACAAGCATCACAGGTGCTGAAGTAGCCTAGAACAGGCAGGACCACAGTTACTGGAGAAGGAATCTGAGGGAGTGGGGCTTGAAGTGAAGCTCCTAAGACTTGTCGGGGATTTGGGTGTCTGGACAGGTAAATCTTTTTGTAGAAATTCGAGATGCCTAAGGAGGGGAACTTCTAGTTGAAGTCCCTCATGGGACAGATGAAAAAAGCCTCAGAGGGTAGTGACTTGAAGGTAGTGACTGAACGAGCACGTGGCATAGTTGGCACTGGAATCGTTATCTTGACTTACCATTTAAGCTCTGTAGCTACCAGGTATGGTGTGTAAAACACTGAGGTGTGAACGACAGAGACATTTGCCACCCTCTCTTTGAGTCATTTCCTCCCTATACCTTACTTAACTCAGGTTGTTTAAAAACTGTAGTCCTTCTAGGCTTTCATTAGGTGTTTAGTATGGTAGCCTAGGGATGTCTGTTGTTTTCCAGAGCTCCTAAACGATTTGCTGTCTTTAATGGCCATGTTTCTCTTGGAATAAAAGATCAGCAGGTGTTTTTGGCTTTGCAAAGGACCTCAACGATATTTAGGAAATGGTTTTTACCTTTAAGGAGCTTTTTCTTATGCAGAAAAATTAGGATGATTAAGTAAATAGTCATAATGTATTGCAGAACCTAGGAAGGCCTTTAAGAGTTATTACAAAGAGCTAAGAACGTGTAGAAGAGGGATTTAATATCTTTGGGGCAGGGAAAGAAAGGCGATCAGCAACAAAAAGCCTGTGGAGGAGACAGTTTTGAGTGGACGTTTAAGACTGGTAAAATATTAACAGACTGTAGTATTTCAATTTGGGGAGGGGGTGCTTACTAGGAAGATGCTTGATTTAAGATATCAGCGAGAGAATACCTAAAGAATTTACCTGCATGGTTGTGGGTACTGGGACTAAAGAGAAAGTCAAGAGAAGGGGTTGGTGCCATCAACTTTGTGGAGGCTCTTAGATGCCCAGCTGGAAAGTTTGTGCTTTTAAAGAAAGGTACAGAAGATCCACTGAAGGGTTTTGACTTATTTAGGGAATAAGAAGATAAATGATATAATGATAATAGTCAGTTAACTAACAGTTACATAATACTTACTATGAGCTAGGTATGTTTTAGGTGCTTTCCATATATTTATCCAGTAGGAGAAGAGATTGTACAGGTTCGTGTGGTGTGGTGTCTTCCATAGAAGCCAATTGTAGAGCATTTGAGGCTGAGAGCTGGGAAAGGGCTGCTCTATTTAGTCCTTAGGCAACTTGGGGCTCCCTCAGCAACTTGAGCAGAAGCCAAATTACAGTGGTTTTAGGAAGGTGTGGGAGACAGAAGGGAGGGAAAGAGTTGACCCTTATTTTTAAAGACTAGAGTATGGAGGAAAGATGATAGGCTAGTATATTCAAAGAGATAGCAGTCATGGGAAAGGTTTTATTTATATTTTTATTTATACAGAAAATTCACGAGTGTGACACTTAGCAAGGGATATTTAGCATTGGAAGGCTAGACAATTTAAAAGAAGGCTGGGTCCAAAAGATGTAAATCTCTATGGAAGTGACTCTGAGTTTTAAAGTGGAAAGTTAGTGATTACAGAGGAAAAGGAGAAAGGAGCAGAAGTGATGTGATGGTGGGAGCATACTCAGGGGTTTCTGGCCAGATAAAGGAAGTGAATGATGATGTGTTCTTAATGTGGGCACTCAGGGTACTACATCTGCAACCACTTTTTGAGCCCGTGCTGTGCATCAAGCAGTATGCACCAGAGATAAAAGTTACATAAGAGTTTTTCCAACTTTTCTTACAGCTCATAATACAAATATATTTTCTATCAAAATCCATTATATATACTTACATTTATAACTGAGTTTCTCAAAATTACACTTAATTCTTGTTATGCTAAATACCCTCTGGTATCTTCTAATCTATTTTTAAAAACTTGTGGCTCACTAAATTGATTTATCCATTCGTGGTGGATTGGGTCCCACTGTTTGAAAAACATTGAAATAATATACAGCCATTGCCCTGGAAAGATACATAGAACTAGAAGAGAAACATAAACAAATGATAAGCCAGTGGGCGTTTAGATCTAGAAAGCTCATGGAGGCCCTGGCTGGTATGGCTCAGTGGATTGAGCAAAACAAAGGGTTGCCTGTTCGATTCCCAGTCAGTGCACATGCCTGGGTTTTGGGCCAGATTCCCAGTAGGGGGCATGTGAGAGGCAGCCACACATTGGTGTTTCTTTTTCTCCCTCCCTTCCCCTCTGCCTAAAAGTAAATAAGTAAGTAAATAAATAAATAAATAAATAAATAAATAAAATCTTTAAAAGAAAAAAGAGAGCTCATTGAGGTTCTTTAATGTCATGCTTTTCAAGTGAATAAATAAAGTACATGTATTTATCACAACAGTGGAAACGATATAAATATGTGTGCAGAAAAAAATTATCTTTTTCCCCTTTTCCACATGGTAACTGTAGTTTATCCTTTTATACCCTTTGGCTTACTCAGACAAACACATTTAAACAAATGTCTAAGGGCTTTGTTTTTGCTTTTTCCAGATATAGAACCTTTGTAGATACATTATTTGCAACTTTCTTTCTATACTCAACACTGTAAAGATACTATTTCTACACATTAGAAGATAATAGATCTAACAATTTTTAATGTATTCATGTAGATACAGTCATGATATATAATTTTAACTATGGATGCTTTTCCTTGTAAGATTTTTATATATTTCTTTTTAGAGAGAGGGTAAGGCAGGGAGAGAGGGAGAGAAACATCAATTGGTTGCCTCTCACATGCCTCCAACTGGGGACCTGGCCCACAACCCAGGCATGTGCCCTGACCCAGTGACCTTTCAGTTTTCAATCCACTGAGCCACACCAGCCAGAGCGGATTCTTTTTTTAAGTATATTTTATTGATTATGCTATTGGAGTCATCCCTCCCCCCCTTACCCCCTCCGCCCTGCAACCCCCTCCCTCCCGCATTCTCCCCTTTAGTTCCTTCCTGTCCATGGATTATACATGTAAGTTCTTTGGCTTCTCCATTTCCTGTACTATTCTTTTTTTTTAAATATTTTATTTATTTATCTTTAGAAGGAGAGAGGGAGAGAAACATCAATGTATGGTTGCCTTTTGTTCGTCCCCTGCTGGGAACTGGCCTGCAGGGAACTGGTCTGCAACCCAGGCATGTGCCCTGACTGGGAATCAAACCGCGATTGTCTGGTTCGCAGGCCCGTGCTCAGTCCACTGAGCTACACCAGCCAGGGCTCCTGTACTATTCTTAACCTCTCCCTGTCTATTTTGTACCTACCATTTATGCTTATTTATTCCCTGTACCTTTTCTCTACTTCTCCCCCCTTCCCCTTCCTGTTGATAACCCTCCATGTGATCTCCATTTCTCTGATTCTGTTCCTATTCTAGTTTGCTTTTTATTTTTGATTTTAGGTTTAGTTGTTGATAGTTGTGAGTTTGTTGTCATTTTTACTATTCATGGTTTTGATCATCTTTTTCTTAGATAAGTCCCTGTAACATTTCATATAAGGGCTTGATGATGATGAGCTCCTTTAACTTGACCTTATCTGGGAAGCACTTTATCTGCCCTTCCATTCTAAATGAAAGTTTTGCTGGATGGAGCAATCTTGGATGTAGGTCCTTGCCTTTCATGACTTGGAACACTTCTTTCCAGCCCCTTCTTGCCTGTACGGTCTCTTTTGAGAAATCAGCTGACAGTCTCATGGGAACTCCTTTGTAGGTGACTGTCCCCCTATCTCTTGCTGCTTCTAGGATTCTCTCCTTCATTTTAATCTTGACTAATGTAATTATGATGTGCCTTGGTGTGTTCCTCCTTGGGTCCAACTTCTGTGGGACTCTCTGAGCTTCCTGGACTTCCAGGAAGTCTATTTCCTTTGCCAGATTGGGAAAGTTATCCTTTATTACTTGTCTAAATAACTTTTCCACTTGTTCTTCCTCTTCTCCTTCTGGTACTCCAATGATTCGGATGTTGAAATGTTTAAAATTGTCCTGGAGTTTCCTAAGCCTCACCTCTCCTTATTTTTTTTTTTAATTCTTGTTTTTTCATTTCGTTTCTTCTCCAAATCATTGAATTGAGTCTCAGTTTCCTTCCCATCACTGTTGATTCCGTGTACATTTTCCTTTATTTCACTTTGCATAGCCTTCACTTTTTCTTCTATTTTGCGATCATACTCAGCCATTTCTGTGAGTATCCTGATTACCTGCAGAGTTCAAAACACTCTGCATCTGATAGGTTGGCTTATCTCTTCATCACTTAGTTCTATTTTTGAAGTCTTAATGTGTTTTTTCATTTGGGCCATATTTCTTTGTCTTGGTGTACCTGTTACATTGTGAGGAGTGGAGCCTTAGGTATTTGCCAGGGTAGGGCAACTCACAAGGCTGTGTTGTGATGCTGTATGTGGGGGAGGGGTCAGAGAGGAAACAGTGGCACTCGCTTGGCTCTTGGCAGGCTTTGGGTCTCTTCCCCCACTACCCACAAGCAAATTGGGCCCTTCTGGTGCTGATTCCCAGTGGGTAGGTTTGTGTACATTCTAGGACCCTGTGGGTCTCTCCCGCGAACTCTCCTGTGAGGCTGGGAGTTTTTCCCACTGCCGCCTCAATACCCACAGATTTTTACAGTCAGGTTTTGAGGCTTTATCCTCCCCCCGCCGCCACATGCTGGGGCCCTGGGTTGCCCAGTCTTTGTCACTCCCCAGTTATTCTTCC